TGTATACGCATTAAAAGTATATGAATATACATCTCCTTTTTATTTTTATAATATCTCCGTAAAAATTACAATATTATATTATTGAATACCACTTTCATACTCAATTTAATTACTGTAATTATTATGTATTCATATATTATAATTATAAATCGGTGTAAAATTAAGGGAATAAGTGTTATTGTTGTTTTTGAAATACTCTACCAATTTCATTTTTTTCTATTTATTAATATCTATTTCAAACTTGCAAGTTGAGTTAAAAGTTATGGTAATAAATTCATATTTTTTTTTTTTAAACTTTCACTTTAAAGGACAAAAAGAAGTTGGTTCAAAATGATTACTTTTAATATATTAAAAATCGATAATAATTTGAAAATAATTAATTATAAAAATTATATAATAGATAATTAAACGAATTACTAATCTGGATATAATTATGGAAATAGGAGTTGATGTTGGGTTGGGTTGGTTACATTTTTAACTTTATAATGCTACAACTCATTGAAAAATGTATGAATCAACACAATTTTTTTATGAGAAATAATATTTTTTAATAATCCCTTTTTCATTCGACATTCTTTATCTTAATCAGGGTATTAATAAGGAACTAGCAGATCATGCAGCTTTTGTAATTATCCACCAATTTCTTAGAATTAAACACTATCTACTGATTTGCATCGAAGCGTTTCTTATGATAGTGATTTTAATCACTGTCAGATTAAATCTATACTGGACCCAACTATGCAACGTCCCCACTATGCCACGACTCCACTGTGCTGGGTTTTTTATTATAAGGGGATTACACTGATTTTCAAAATATTATATCAATCTAATTGACATAATGTAAAAAGTTAAACATACTTAAATTTTTTTGTTTCTTTGAAGTCGAGAAAACTAACTTTAAAATTTGAACTAACTAAATTTCCATTTTTATTAAGTGATGAATGAGACGTACAGTTTCTGAAACGGTAACACTTGAGTCTTTCACGCCTCTGGCACTGAACGATATAAACGATTAATTAGCCGACCGCGAGTAATGGCGGCGATTAAGGCGGTGGCGGCGGCGAAGAAGAAGAAGATGTTAGAAATAATTAAAACCCACTTTATATGGCGGAAATTTATTTATTTATATGGGCGGCGGCGGTTGGGTTACACGCGCGTTGAGCTTTTACCGACCGGACGACCGGCGGCAGGCGATTTACCGCGTCGATTCGTGAAAACACACAATGAAATAATAACTCGGCGCCACAAATATCTACAACATTACTCGGCGGTGTTTCCCGTATGGATTTCAACGTTTATTTTCACACGGAACGTACACAATATGCGTTTATGACATATTTCGATTATACCGCCGTGTTTATGACGACGTTTAGGTCGGAAATAATTAAAACGAGCTTATTATATCGGCAGCAATTTATTTATTTTTTCAGGGGCCGCCGCCGGTATCGTCTTACCACCGGTATTTCCTAAAAATTGTTTTCGTCGACTCGGAAGAAATAAAAAGTTTCGTACGTCCAACGGGCGCGTGCCGTCACGAGCGGCAGTGCGTCCAAATCGAAACAAATACCATCACACACGCAGTAGTTTTCTGTCATCGGACGGCGGCGGCGGTGGTGATTTTCAACCCGGTAAACCTTATGCTCGTACCGCCGGCGTCACTCGTGTGCGCTCGTCATCGTATTGTCTCCAATGCAAAATAAAACGTCGTCGTGAATTTCTGTTTAGACCGTAGCCGCTCGACACACGTATCGACGAGTTTCGCCGAATCGTCGACCGTATCCGACGAACGCCAACTGTACGTTGCCACCGCACGATCTGGAGCGCATCGCGCGCGCCGTGCAAATCGTCGTAGCCACTACGACGAATAGCCCCGTTCTATTCGATTCAAGTACGGAAATAATTCGATTTTAATTTGAAAACTCAAATATCCACGTTGTAACAACGTAATGTATTATATTGTACAATGGACAAATCCAAATTTATTATAAAGTATTACATGAAATATATATCCAGTGATGATTGTGTACATATTAAATAATAATTAATATTAATAATATTAAATAGTAATAATAATATTAAATAGTAATAATAATATTAAATAGCGTCACCCCACACACCACACCACGATCTCAGTCGCCCTTGTACACGGTGCTTCGCAGCACACATTCCCGGCGCGGGTCCAGTCCGGTCCTCTGGTAGTACGGCAGCAGCGCGGTCCGTTCGGCGTTGTCGAGCAGCGCCTCGGTGTACTTGCGCCGGGCGGCCACGTCCTCTGCGAACCCGTAACCGTCGGGGTCGGCTCGGACGCCGTCCAGCAGCTTCCGCTTGGCCGAATACGAGCCGCCGATACGTCTGACGTCGTTGAGCAGCTGCTGGTCGGGCGCGTGCCACGGCAGCAGCAGATGGTAGCGGGCGATCGTCTGCTCGCGGGTGACCGAGCCGTCCAGGACGGCCCGCTTGAAATCGGCCAGGTCCGCTTCGTACGCGTCTGAAACATTGAAAAAAAAAAATCAAACACTCCAATGAAAAAACGATTGTCAGAAAAGTACTATGTCGTACTACGCAATACTTATAATAGTGTAATACTATACTATAATAATAATAGTACTGTACTATACTATACCACACACTAATAGCAGTATAGTATTTTTGTTATATTAGTATAGAACTATACTATACTAATATAACAAAAGGATGCGCGTCTGTTGTTTATGAAAATCGATCCGTTTGGATTTATCATTATCGTGATTATCATTATTATTAATTATTTAATATTCTCATTAATAATTATCTATTATCAATTATCAATTTATTACTCGTCATTATTCTCGTTTACCTGTTCCCTTCACGCCGTTAATGGGACGTCTGCAAATCGGACACGCTTTATTACTCGAACTCAAAATCTTAGTCGTGCACACAATGCAAACGCCGTGCTCGCAATCTCGGATCGTGCAACATTGAGGCACCGAACCCAAGCAGACGGGGCACTCCACGTCGTCTCCTGCAAATACGCGTCCGGGTGAAACACATTTCGCTAATAGGCTGTACATACATATATATATATATATATATATATATACACACACACAGTCTATATAGGATTTATGTATATGTATGTATATAAGCAGTCTATATAGACTTTTTGTATATGTATGTACATAGTCTATTGTTAGGGGCTTGTTTAATAGTTGAGGATCTCGGTGAAAACCAACAATCGGAAGCTACCCGACACGTCTGCCCAAATATCGTCCCCGTCTTCTCCTCGAACGAGTTTTAATTACCCGAAGGATACTCGTGTATCGTGTAATATAGACAATATATATAGGCAATCGTGTACCGAGGATAGAATATTAAATATAAAACTACACTATTGTTTTATGTCGACGTACAAAGTAAAGTTATTGTTTAGACGTTCGGTAAATACGAGTCGCGTGTAACGTACAATACGTCTGACCCGACGACCCGGTGCGGGCGGTGTATCCGAGCGAGACGGTGTCGGATGCCCACGATGACTATTGGCGACGGAGGGGTCGTCGAATAAAACCGGTCGAGTTTAGCTAAACTTTGAGTCTAGCTCGACTTTTAACAAACTCTATACGAATAAGAGGAATGCGATGGCGTATTGAAAACTACGTCTACGGAGACGGCCGCTCGAACGCGACTGCCCTTTGTCGGTTGGGCGTCGGTAGCTCCGGGCTGAAGGTGAGTAGAATCCGGCATGTCTCTCTCTACGCTAATCGATACGTATTACTAATGAAATGAATCGACTATAAAACGCGTGTAATATAAGCGGCGAGAACGAGGTAATAAATGTTCTTACACCGTATAGACTGTATATATATAAGGGTGGTGGTCCTCTGTCATAGGTGAAGCAAAGAAATTTTCATTGTTCAGTTGCAGGACCCCCTAAATTTTTTTATTACTATAAGCAAAACTTCATCAAAATGTTTTACTTATAGTAATAAAAAAATGTAGGGGGTCATGCAAATAAAATTTTTAACTTCGAATTTGAGGACCACCCTAATACATATTGACTGTGTATGTATACTTTTCGACCGTTCGTAAAACAAAACGGTAAAATAATATTGGAATAATCGTCGCCAGGAGTAATGGTAAAATTTATTATTTTACCATTACCGGCGACGTACGCCGGTAATTTAAAAATTAAAAGTTTAAAAATTAACCTTTGGACAACGTGACTAGGAAAGCCCACAAAACGATCGCACTGGCCCTGAACATTTTATCTGAAAAAGCGTATATTATTATTATTAATTATTATTGTCAATTATTATTATAATTAATTATTATTGTTATTATTGTAATAAAAACGGTAATAATTTCCAACGCGATTATTGAATTTTTTCCAGCGATCGGGTAAATTTTATCGATAAATTCCAACGGGTTAGATTCCGAGAAAAATACGACGACGACGACGTTCGGTACGTTTTATTACGGTAAATTCGACGACGTCGTTGCGTCCGACACGACGACGCGTCGTTTGTAAACAAACGAGTCGCGGCGATTCGTGTCGATTGTCGACGACGCGCGATTTCGTGTCGATTGACGTGTACAACGTGTCGTCGTCGTTAGGGTGCGCGACGTACGCGTACGCGTTGTAGATCGCGGCCAACAGACGCCGTGAATGAACGTTATGAATAAACGCCCTGTGAATAAACGCGCGGGGAACAGGCGCTGTGCATAAACGCTCGGTGAACAGGCGCTGTGCATAAACGCGCGGTGAACAGGCGCTGTGAATAAACGCGCGGTGAACAGGCTCTGTGCATAAACGCTCGGTGAACAGGCGCTGTGCATAAACGCGCGGTGAACAGGCGCTGTGAAGACGCGGGTTGTTTTACCCGCAACGCCGGTGTCGCGATCAACGGGGCGGTCACCCCCGACGATATTCGCCTCAGTCGTCCGCGCAATCCACTCACCCGTAGGAGGAGCCGTGCGTTTATTAATTTTTTGTAACGCCGACCGATGGTCTTGCGAAAACACCGTCTTGTTCCCTCGTCGTCGCTGCCGCCGCCGATTTAACTGATGGCGTCGACGCGTCGACGCGCATCTATAACTAATGTCACGCCGTCGCCATTTTCCAACGGTTTTCATTCGATACGGCAGGAGTGTGGTTATCGTGTTTGTCTCGTATACTACACTACTACCACCACCACCACCATCACCTCCACTACTACTACTACCACCACCTCCTCCACTACTACTACTACTACTATTCTTTTTCTGGTGGGCGTACCGCGGGGAAACACGAGTCGCGCGCGCGACACGGTACAAACGTCACGACCGTCCGTCGTTTGCCGACGCCGACGACGACCAATACCTGTATGCCGTTTGGAGGGTGACGCGGAAGAAAATTCGTCGTGGCGACGTGTCGGTTTTTTTTTTTGTTT